TGTGTACTGTCTCACCCTTCACCCAAGATACCACTTATCTATTGCCTATTTAGTATTTCCCCCCCACCCCTCCCATCCCTGGCAACCAACCAAGATTGTTACTTTTTGTGTGTGAACGTTTTCATGGGTTTTTACAATAGAGGTCTCATACAATATTTTGGACCAATAATTTTATAAAATATAATAAAAATGTCATAACAATGTTAAACTGCTATAAAAATTTCTAAACGCTTCCTCTTACTTTCCATTCTTATCAGCTCACTGACCAGAAGGTTCGTGGATCCCACTTTGGGAAGCATGGGTTAAGCACTTGTTCCCTTTACTTTGCAATGGCTGAGGGAACGTCCTCAACCTTACAGGATGGCAGGTCTGGAATAGTTCAACTCGGACCAGAATTTTACCTTGTTGCCTCCATTTTAGCCATTATGCTTTGCACAGGGTAGCACTTAACGCAGGCACTTCATAAATTGTTTATGGATTTGAGTCAATCATCCAATAAGCGCTTCAAATAACATCCTCTTTTGCTTTCCTTACTCAGCAGTTTTAGCCTTAGGGAAAAGGGGCCACCCATTGTAGTGTTAAAACCACATTAGGTGCTTAAAAGCAGGACCTTGACTACAGCTAAGTACAAAGGGAAGCCAATTGGAGGCCTGGAAGATTTTCAAACTTGCAAGCATTGTTCCAAGGCCTCAATTTGGAGACTCCATTTAAAACGTCTGTGTCTCTGGCATGGGCATGAGATCCCAGGACTCCTAGGGGGTGAGAGCTGGGGTGCCCAGGAACATGAGCTCACGAACACAGCTCTGTCCCAGGTCCAGGACTGCCTTGGCACAAATCTGTTTGCAACATAAAAATGCTCATGTGATGCTTGTAACTGCCTCCCACATTCCTCTCACTTCTTGCCTCTGATATTTTTGTAGTCACTTTCCGGGTTCTGGAACTGTTGGGGACCAGAATCATAGGTCACCCCAGGAAGACCGAGGGGAATGTTTCTGTGCCATTATTCAATGTTACATAAAGTCAGAACGGGAGCCGTCCTCTGTTTCCTACCAGGTGGATTACGTCTCTGGGGAAAATCCAACTTCTGCAACTTCAGCTTTTCTTTGGAACTTTACCCACTGTGCCTTATTAATGACCCCTTTTTATAAAGGACTCTAACTTATAATTCACCTTATTCCTTTACCAGAATTGTTCCAGGCCAAGACTGCTTTTCTCTCAGCCAGGATACAACGATCCCTCATTCTCTTCTCCATCTACCTCACCCAGAAGGCTTATTGTTGTTGTTAGGTGCCATCAAGTCGCTTCTGACTCATAGCGACCCTATGTACAACAGAACAAAACACTGCCCAGTCCTGTGCCAGCTTCACAATCGTTGCTATGTTTGAGCCCATTGTTGCAGCCACTGTGTCAATACATCTAGTTCAGGGTCTTCCTCTTTTTTGCTGACCCTCTACTTCACCAAGTATGATGTCCTTCTCCAGGGACTGGACCCTCCTGATAACATGTCCAAAGTATGTGAGATGAAGTCTTACCATACTCGCTTCCATGGAACATTCCGGCTGCACTTCTTCCAAGACATAAAGGTATGTAGGGTTTAATTCCTATTCAGCAGTCACCCTGGGCATGCTCAGTCAACCAGACCAGCTGGTCCTATCTTGCAACTGCTTAATGAGCATCTTTTATTGCCCAGCCCAAATTCCTGATAACACGTCCAAAGTATGTGAGACGAAATTTCGCCATCCTCACTTCTAAGGGGCACTCTGGCTGTACTTCTTCCAAGACAGATTTGTTCGTTCTTCTGGCAGTCCATGGTATATTCTTCGGCAACACCGTAATTTAAATGTGGCAATTCTTCAGTCTTTGTCTTAGTCATCTAGTGCCGCTCTAACAGAAATACCACAATTGGATGGCTTTAGCAAAGAGAAGTTTATTCTCTCATAGTCCAGTAGACAACAAGTTATATTCAGGGCATCAGCTCCAAGGGAATGCTTTCTCTGTTGGCTCTGGAGGAAGGTCTGTGTCATCAATCTTCCCTTGGTCTGGGAGCCTCTCTGTGCAGGAACCTCAGGTCCAAAGGATGCACTCTGCTCCCGGCCCTGCTTTCTCGGTGGTATGAGGTTCCCATGTGTCTCTGCTCGCTTCTCTCTTTTATATCTCAAAAGAGATTGGATTAAGACACTACCTAATCTTGTAGACATCATAAGTATAACCTCATCATAGTGATAGAGTTTACAACACATAAGGAAATCACATCAGATTACACACTCATACAATACTGGGAATCATGACCTAGCCAAGTTGACAGATATTTTGGGGGGACACAATCCAATCCATGACACCCCTCCTTATTCACTGTCCAGCTTTCACGTGCATCTAAGGCAACTGAAAATACCATGGCTTTGGTCAGGCACACCTTAGTCCTCAAAGTGACATCTTTCCTTTTAAACACTTTAAAGAGGTCTTTTGCAGCAGATTTGCCCAGTGCAGTATGTTGTTTGATGTCTTGACTTGCTGCTTCCATGGCCATTGATTGTGGATCCAAGTGAAATGAAATCCTTGACAACTTCAGTCTTTTCTCCGTTTATCATGATGTTGCTTATTGGTCCAGTTGTGAGAATTTTTGTTTTCTTTATGTTGAGGTGTAATCCATACTGAAGGCTGTAGTTTTTGATCTTCACCAGTAAGTGCTTCAAGTCTTCTTCACTTTCAGCAGGTAAGGCTGTGTCATCTGCATATCACAGGCTGTTAATGAGTCTTCCTCCAACCCTGATACTGCATTCTTCTTCATACAGATTATTTGCTCAGCATACAGATTGAATAAGTATGGTGAAAGGATACAACCCTGACACACACCTTTCCTGATTTTAAGCCACACAATATCCTTTGTTCTGTTGGAACGACTGTCTCTTGGTCTATGTACAGGTTTCTCATGAGCGCAATTAAGTGTTCTAGAATTCCCATTCTTCACAATATTATCCATAATTTGTTATGAGCCACACAGTTGAATGCTTTTGCATAGAATAACAGTCCTACAAGGGACTCAGTAATAAAAGGGCTCTATAACTTTATCAGGTGGTGTCATGGATTGAATTGTGTCCTCCAAAAATATCTGTCAACTTGACTAGGCCATGATTTCCAGTATTGTATGATTGTCTACCATTTTATCATCTTATGTGATTTCCCTATGTGTTGTAAACTCTAACACTATGATGTAATAAAATGGGTTAGTAGCAGTGATGCTGATGAGGTCTATAAGATTAGATAGTGTCTTAAGCCAATCTCTTTTGAGATATAAAAGATAGAAGTGAACAAAGACACATGGGAGCCTCAAACCACTAAGAAAGCAGTGCCGGGAGCAAAGTGCAACCTTTGGACCTGAGGTTCCTGCACT